GTGATATATCACATATCCTGTATGTGATTGGTGATATATCACACACCCTGTATGTGATTGGTGATATATCACACACCCTGTATGTGATTGGTGATATATCACATACCCTGTATGTGATTGGTGATATATCACATATCCTGTATGTGATAGGTGATATATCACACACCCTGTATGTGATTGGTGATATATCACACCCTGTATGTGAGAGGTGATATATCACATACCCTGTATGTGATTGGTGATATATCACATATCCTGTATGTGATTGGTGATATATCACATATCCTGTATGTGATAGGTGATATATCACACACCCTGTATGTGATAGGTGATACATCACACACCCTGTATGTGATAGGTGATGTATCACATACCCTGTATGTGATTGGTGATATATCACATATCCTGTATGTGATAGGTGATATATCACACACCCTGTATGTGATAGGTGATGTATCACACACCCTGTATGTGATAGGTGATATATCACACACTCTGTATGTGATAGGTGATGTATCACATATCCTGTATGTCATCGGTGATGTATCACACACCCTGTATGTGACTGGTGATATATCACACACCCTGTATGTGATAGGTGATGTATCACACACCCTGTATGTGATTGGTGATATATCACACACCCTGTATGTGATAGGTGATATATCACATATCCTGTATGTGATAGGTGATATATCACACACCCTGTATGTGATAGGTGATATATCACACACCCTGTATGTGATAGGTGATGTATCACACACCCTGTATGTGATAGGTGATGTATCACACACCCTGTATGTGATAGGTGATATATCACACACCCTGTATGTGACTGGTGATATATCACATATCCTGTATGTGATAGGTGATATATCACATATCCTGTATGTGATTGGTGATATATCACACACCCTGTATGTGATAGGTGATATATCACATACCCTGTATGTGACTGGTGATATATCACACACCCTGTATGTGACTGGTGATATATCACACACCCTGTATGTGATTGGTGATATATCACATACCCTGTATGTGATAGGTGATGTATCACACACCCTGTATGTAATAATTGACAGGGGGTGAGGTGGCAAGGCTGAGCAGTCTCTGATCCCTTTAGCACCACTCTGCCTCCTCTCCTCATCCAGGGTTTGTCATTTGGTGGTGCAGTGTGTGCCAGAAGGTGCCTGGGATATTCCTGCCTTTAGTGCCGTGCGCTGGGCAGTTTTTCAGCGCAGGACTGAGAGCTCTGATTGCTGATGTGTAGCTGTAAACCCTCTCCATCCTCCTCCTCTATGTGGAGGGGGCAGGTGGGGATGCTCTGATGCAACACTCCCCTTGTCTCCTCTGGCTGGGAACAAAGCTGACCCAGCAGCTCATTTGAGTTTCCATCTGCTGCTTCCACGCTGGAGGAGAATGGTGTCTTAGTTGTCTGAGGAGAGACTGCTTTTTAATCATGTCTGCACTGCCTGGGGTTTGGGCCTTGGTGCCAGCCAGTAGGAAAAATCAATGTTTAAACTGTTCGATGGAGAGTGCTGGCTGCCAGTTCCTGCTGCTCTGACGGCTCAAGGGGAGCGATGTCTGTGCCCTGCGTGCCCTGGGTGCTGCTGGGAGGGCAGTTCATGCCCCAGCCTCCTCTGACAAGGAGGTTTTGGGGGTTTGGGTGTGAGCTGAGCTTCCCTTTGGACCTTTGGAGCTGAGGTGCAGGGTACCCACCTGCTGCTGGGGCTGGCACACGTCAGCTGTGTCCCCCCAGCTGCCCCTGGGTCTGCTCTGACAGCTGGGGACATGGATCTGACCCTGCTGTGACAGCTGGGACAGCTCACTTGGGCTGGCTGGACTGGCTGTGATGAGTGAGGATGGAGAGCGGAACAGGAGGAAGCCAAAGGGAAATCCATCTTCTGGCACTGGTGAATAATGGTGGTGGTGCTCGGACAGCAAAGAAATATCCTCTGATAGTGTGACAGAAAAGCGTGTGGGTGCTGTCAGCCACGGCCTCAGCTCCTGGGAGCAGCTGTGAGACAAATCACCCCTGGTGCAGGTCCCTCCCTGCCTGGCCACGGCAGGTGTGGGGGAAATGGGATTTGCAGAATTCCTGCTGGGAATGGGAATGCGCCGGGGCAGGAGGGGCCTGAGCAGCTGCTGGGGTGCTGGACTCAGAGATGGGGGTGGTGATCCCAGCTGTCCCAGTGCCCCCAGTGCCCCCAGACCCACCACAGGCTCCTCATCCCCTCCCTGAGCCCCTCCGGGAGGGACAGGTGTGGCGGGGACAGTGACCCTTCCTCCCACAGCACAGGGATGCCAGGCTGCAGGGGCAGGGTGACAGGTGGTGTGGGGCCTGCCCAGCTCCTCACAACCCTCACTGGCTGATTTCCCTTCTCTGCTGAATGCTGATGAGGTGTAAATCCCGGGCTGACCTCGAATTCCATCTGCATTTCCTCAGATTTGCCATTTCAAGCAGGGGTTTAGCTCTCAATCCCCCGGCAGGCTGGGAGGGGGGATGAAGAATGCTTTGCACTGTTTCATACCTCCCTGCACCTGAAGGGTTTGGAGCCCTTTGCAGAGGGTCAGGAAGGTGCCAGGTGGGATCAGGGAGTGTTTAACAGGTAGACACAAACCCACACCTCTGCTAAAGGGAATCAGAGCCAGGCAGGTGCTGAAGTCAGGCTCTGCAGCCTGAACCTTTGCCCAGCTCCAAGCTCCTGCTCCATGGCCCTGGGTTTTTGGGAAGCATGTTGCCCACTGGTTCCTCTGTACGCTGTTATCAGGAATTGCTGCCCGAGGTCCTGGAGTCCTTCTGCTTCCTGGAGCAAAGCATCAGGACAGAGACCCCTCAATACAGAACAACCTGTCATGTTGTGTTTCCCGAGGCTTCATTTCACTTTTTAAATGATTTAATTGATGAGCCCTTTCTTTTTATACATCACATTCAGCTGGTTTCCACAGTAACAACCAAACCTGGAACCCGGAGCTTGGAGTCCTTTCTGAGTAAATAATGCCAAA